AAAACGCCCTTGGAAAGTTTTACCCACGCATTTCTGGCAAGTGTATCGCACGCATCCCCCCAATATGGGTATCATATGAAAGCCCATGAAAACCCAAACAAAATGGTGGGGTAAAATTTACCCACTACCCCATCCAGGGTAAAGTTTACCCAAGATGAAAATTTTCGGTCAATGGGGCGGCCCCTACGATTTTCCTTAAAATCGGCATGGTGATACTACAGGCCGAGATGATCAATCTGGCTGAAGAAACCCCTATGGGCATTGAAATCTATGGGGTAAAAACGCCCTTGGAAAGTTTTACCCACGCATTTCTGGCAAGTGTATCGCACGCATCCCCCCAATATGGGTATCATATGAAAGCCCATGAAAACCCAAACAAAATGGTGGGGTAAAATTTACCCACTACCCCATCCAGGGTAAAGTTTACCCAAGATGAAAATTTTCGGTCAATGGGGCGGCCCCTACGATTTTCCTTAAAATCGGCATGGTGAAACTACAGGCAGAGATGATCAATCTGGCTGAAGAAACCCCTATGGGCATTGAAATCTATGGGGTAAAAACGCCCTTGGAAAGTTTTACCCACGCATTTCTGGCAAGTGTATCGCACGCATCCCCCCAATATGGGTATCATATGAAAGCTTTCATATGATGCCCATATTGGGGGGATGCGTGCGATACACTTGCCAGAAATGCGTGGGTAAAACTTTCCAAGGGCGTTTTTACCCCACAGATTTCAATGCCCATAGGGGTTTCTTCAGCCAGATTGATCATCTCGGCCTGTAGTATCACCATGCCGATTTTGAAGAAAATCGTAGGGGCCGCCCCATTGACCGAAAATTTTCATCTTGGGTTAACTTTACCCTGGATGGGGTAATGGGTAAATTTTACCCCACCATTTTGTTGGGGTTTTCATGGGCTTTCATATGATGCCCATATTGGGGGGATGCGTGCGATACACTTGCCAGAAATGCGTGGGTAAAACTTTCCAAGGGCGTTTTTACCCCATCGATTTCAATGCCCATAGGAGTTTCTTCAGCCAGATTGATCATCTCGGCCTGTAGTATCACCATGCCGATTTTGAAGAAAATCGTAGGGGCCGCCCCATTGATCGAAAATTTTCATCTTGGGTAAACTTTACCCTGGATGGAGTAATGGGTAAATTTTACCCCACCATTTTGTTTGGGTTTTCATGGGCTTTCATATGATACCCATATTGGGGGGATGCGTGCGATACACTTGCCAGAAATGCGTGGGTAAAACTTTCCAAGGGCGTTTTTACCCCATAGATTTCAATGCCCATAGGGGTTTCTTCAGCCAGATTGATCATCTCGGCCTGTAGTATCACCATGCCGATTTTAAGGAAAATCGTAGGGGCCGCCCCATTGACCGAAAATTTTCATCTTGGGTAAACTTTACCCTGGATGGGGTAGTGGGTAAATTTTACCCCACCATTTTGTTTGGGTTTTCATGGGCTTTCATTTGATACCCATATTGGGGGGATGCGTGCGATACACTTGCCAGAAATGCGTGGGTAAAACTTTCCAAGGGCGTTTTTACCCCATAGATTTCAATGCCCATAGGGGTTTCTTCAGCCAGATTGATCATCTCGGCCTGTAGTATCACCATGCCGATTTTAAGGAAAATCGTAGGGGCCGCCCCATTGACCGAAAATTTTCATCTTGGGTAAACTTTACCCTGGATGGGGTAGTGGGTAAATTTTACCCCACCATTTTGTTTGGGTTTTCATGGGCTTTCATATGATACCCATATTGGGGGATGCGTGCGATACACTTGCCAGAAATGCGTGTGTAAAACTTTCCAAGGGCGTTTTTACCCCATAGATTTCAATGCCCAATTCTTCAGCCAGATTGATCATCTCGGCCTGTAGTATCACCATGCCGATTTTAAGGAAAATCGTAGGGGCCGCCCCATTGACCGAAAATTTTCATCTTGGGTAAACTTTACCCTGGATGGGGTAGTGGGTAAATTTTACCCCACCATTTTGTTTGGGTTTTCATGGGCTTTCATATGATACCCATATTGGGGGATGCATGCGATACACTTGCCAGAAATGCGTGGGTAAAACTTTCCAAGGGCGTTTTTACCCCATAGATTTCAATGCCCATAGGGGTTTCTTCAGCCAGATTGATCATCTCGGCCTGTAGTATCACCATGCCGATTTTGAAGAAAATCGTAGGGGCCGCCCCATTGACCGAAAATTTTCGTATTGGGTAAACTTTATCCTGGCTGGGGTAATGGGTAAATTTTACCCCACCATTTTGTTTGGGGTTTCATGGGCTTTCATATGATACCATATTGGGGGATGCGTGCGATACACTTGCCAGAAATGCGTGGGTAAAACTTTCCAAGGGCGGTTTTACCCCATAGATTTCAATGCCCATAGGGGTTTCTTCAGCCAGATTGATCATCTCGGCCTGTAGTACCACCATGCCGATTTTGAAGAAAATCGTAGGGGCCGCCCCATTGACCGAAAATTTTCATCTTGGGTAAACTTTACCCTGGATGGGGTAGTGGGTAAATTTTACCCCACCATTTTGTTTGGGTTTTCATGGGCTTTCATATGATACCCATATTGGGGGATGCGTGCGATACACTTGCCAGAAATGCGTGTGTAAAACTTTCCAAGGGCGTTTTTACCCCATAGATTTCAATTCCCATAGGGGTTTCTTCAGCCAGATTGATCATCTCGGCCTGTAGTATCACCATGCCGATTTTGAAGAAAATCGTAGGGGCCGCCCCATTGACCGAAGATTTTCATCTTGGGTAAACTTTACCCTGGACGGGGTAATGGGTAAATTTTACCCCACCATTTTGTTTGGGTTTTCATGGGCTTTCATATGATACCCATATTGGGGGGATGCGTGCGATACACTTGCCAGAAATGCGTGGGTAAAACTTTCCAAGGGCGTTTTTACCCCATAGATTTCAATGCCCATAGGGGTTTCTTCAGCCAGATTGATCATCTCGGCCTGTAGTATCACCATGCCGATTTTAAGGAAAATCGTAGGGGCCGCCCCATTGATCGAAAATTTTCATCTTGGGTAAACTTTACACTGGATTGGGTAATGGGTAAATTTTACCCCACCATTTTGTTTGGGTTTTCATGGGCTTTCATATGATACCCATATTGGGGGGATGCGTGCGATACACTTGCCAGAAATGCGTGGGTAAAACTTTCCAAGGGCGTTTTTACCCCATAGATTTCAATGCCCATAGGGGTTTCTTCAGCCAGATTGATCATCTCGGCCTGTAGTATCACCATGCCGATTTTGAAGAAAATCGTAGGGGCCGCCCCATTGACCGAAAATTTTCATCCTGGTTAAATCATGCTTTTGGTTAAATTGATCCGGTATTTAACCATATCATTAGGTCCGGGGTGAAGAGATCTTTCAAATGGTGGTCTTATTTTTCAGTTTCGTCCAGCCGTTTAGGCGTAAAACGGTTTTTAGATTTTTCCCTAGATTTCTAGATTTTTCCCTAGATTTGGCAGCCCCAATCTGGGCTGGGCCGAATGTGGGCTGAATGTGGGCTAACTTCCGTTACATAATCCTGAAGCATGGTTGTGGGACAGAACAACAGACCCTGATGCTTTTCATTATCAATGTTAGGTATGGAAAATGAAACTGAAGTTGATGGACTGTCAAACAGTGATTGTCTAGTCAAAACTCTTGCTTCTTTCTTACCTTGCATATTTTCTGGGGTGTGATATGCCAGGCTTGAAGCAGCCTTCTGAGCAAGTCTCAAACTAATTTAAAACACTAGTGAGCATCCAACATCCAAGTTCATCTATTTTGATTTTGATTTTTCCAAATAATGATCTTCGCTCAAATCCCCAAGGACGTGCGAGCCACAATTGCCTCTTTCAATCAAAAATTTTACTTGAGTTTTTAATGACGTCAATAGCAAAGAAGTGGCAATAAATTGTTTTGTTTCACTATAAACAGCCATAAAAATTATAAATAATAAATAATTATGCTATACAATTAAAAACTTGCTCTCAATCAAAGATAAAGTATCAAATTTTTACATTTTAAGAAGAAGACGTCATTTTATTAGTAAAGTCAACAGCTCGCGTAAGAAATATTGTGTTCAGGGTTTTCACCGTCATGTGAATTACGTGTTCAGGGTTTTCACCATCATGTGAATTAACCGTAAGTAAGGTTCATGCTAACTTATAATCTAATTCCATTGGCTTCGTTGATCAGCATTTTCTGTTAGCGGTCACTCACACACCAGTTAGAACATAAAGCGCCAGTTTTATATTATGTAATTGGACTTGCCGAAAATTCAGAAATACATCTAAGAGTTATTTTAGATAATATTTTATGAAGCCTTTACCTGCTTTTACCTAGGCGTGATTTCTTTTTCTATTACCTGAAAGAATTATTGAACGCTCGTCTTCAATAGCTGTAAGGTGCTCTCCTAATGACCAGGTGAGATTGATTTGAGAAATGAGAGGGATGTGATAATGCAACATGTTGCATTTTCTGAAACTTTCAAGCTCTTGATGATGAAGGAACAATTGATATCTATAATTAGTATTCTGTACCAGAGTGCAAACTCCCCTACAGCAAATGGTAAAACCATTACAGGTTTTCAAAGGCTTCACCACTTACAATGTTGCTGGGCATCCTTTGCATGATTTTTACAGGCTAGACTGCTTATCAGAATGTAAGATTAAGGATTTAAAATTTTATATTTGAGTACTTAAGATTGAGATTGAAATCTCACAGCCGTGGCCACAGCCGTAGCCGTGTTCTTGGAGATATTTGCAGCCGCCCCGGCCCACAGCCGTGGGGCTGCAGCCAGCCGCGGCTGCAGCCGGCCGGTGCAGACCTCTAGTAGATACTCTACATAATATCGACAGAGCGTGTCACTCGCCGCCGGTGGACATTGACAGCCCCGGAGCGTTCACTCTTATCTCGGCTTCCGCCGTGGCACGATGAGTATATATGCAGCGGCGTCGGCCGACCTCAGTCAGTCCGAGTTAGACAGAGCAGCCAGCAGCCATGTCCCGACCCAGTGTGTTTGGTGCGCGGAGAGAGGAGAGGATCAACATACTGCATAGGGGACTGGATTGGAGATTGAGGAGTTTAGAACGAAAATACGGATCGTGTGCACACCTGATCCCCGACACGCTGCTGTTGGCAACCGACATAGTAAAAAACCACTCTGCAGGGTGGCAGGGGTACTGTACTACGGCTGAGGTGAGAAGCGCTGTCCCCTGGCTGGTGATTGAACCACTCATGGCGGCCCTGCAGAATGTCAATGACGCCGCTGCCGCCCGCTGTCGGCACTGCCAGCCCGACCAGCCTCTCAGGGCCACCTTCATCAATCAGTCGGGCAGCAGTGCCGAGGGGCTGGATGACGGGGTCGTCGGCAGAGGAGGGACATCGGACTTCGATCATATGTTCGAGTTCGACGGACCCTTCCGCTGGGCGGCGCTCGGCAGGAGAGATGAGCCGGCCGTTATTAGCTCAGAGTCTGCACCACAGCTGTGGGCCCGGCCTACCAAAAACCCTGGCTTTGTGACTCTGCACTGGGTGAGGACGACCGACTGCTGTCATGATAAGGCTTTAGAGGCACTGCCGGCTGATTCTGTTCGTACTCTCATGCGGGACGTGCGTACAGTAATGGGAGGCAAGATCGACACTGCCGGACCGGCGGTCAACGTCAAACATACAGGTGATGTTACAGACGGCGGCCGTGACTTCGTACCTTGTATCCTTGTGCGCGGGTGGTGGCCAGCAAAAGGCCAGCTCGACGGATGTCACCTGGAGGCCGACTTTCCACCAGCGGCGGCGAGGGATGACATCCGTCGATACGGGGTACATCTGGTACCGACCGGCCGGCCTGGCAGTGACACCGAGTTTATTGAGTATCGGATTTCCTACTCACGGGCGGAGGTAGTCGCTGTCCGCCACCTCGCTCCAGTGATACGAGCGGCTATCGTGGCTGTAAAAGCAATGAAAAATATAATAAAAAAGAACGAGATGGTGAGCGAGGACGTGCCATTGAAGTCATACTATATAAAGACGGCGGGACTTTGGCTAGCCCAAATCACGCCCGTTGATATGTGGACGGGCGTAACTGACGGTGTTCACAAAATACTGGACTGGCTGGAAACAAACCTCGCCGCTGGAAGACTGCCTTGCTTTTTCAATCACACTATCGATGTGGCCGCTACACTCAGCACAGACCAGCGACTGGCTATCATCGAAACACTAAGGCTGATGAGGGAGCATGCTACGGTCCTTCTGATGGCGGGATGTGTGGATCGGTGGATTGTGGATCAGCTGCTGGAGGGCGGTACGGGGCCGCCCTCAGAGCGAGAGCTGCGGCTCCGTCTCGGACGGACGCTGGTACTGCAGGCTATATTTGACAGTGTCGGTTACCGTCCCGAAGCACCGTGCTGGGAGAGCTGGTGGAAGCAGGCCATTCCTCCGCTGGTCCGCACAGCTCCACTGCTACTACAGTTGTGGCACTACAGTCAATCAGGACCACACCGGCAGCAGTGCTACCTGTTCATGGCGTGGACTGTGGTCGACCCGGCAGACTTGGTGCCAGGAGAGCCGATGACGTCACCGGCCAGCGACATCGTCACGCTGGACGTGACGCCACTGACAAATCTCCTCACCAGGTCTGACCTAGTTTACCTGCTGGGTGACCCGGACAGGGTGGCCACCTGGTGTAGTCAACAGCTGCGGCAGCCGCTGGAGGAGCGGCCGGCCGGACTGACCGCCGAGCTGGACACACCGCGGGGCCGTGCCGAGCTGCTGCTGCGTCCCGAGCTGCTGCTGCAGGCTGTCCGCGTGAACGCGCCGGGTAAGATGGACCAGTGGCGCTATGCGGACCAGGCAGCGAAGAACATGTGGATGAGTAACTACCGACCAATGGCTACCTATCAGGAGATCCAGGAGATATTGGAGTGGCAAAAAAACACCAACCTGCATGAGCTGGTCCAGCGCCGACTGCCAGAGATGGACGCCGCGACTGTGGACGCCACGGCCGGCTTCTGGCGCCGCCGGGGGCAGCAGCTGCTGTCCGGTGACCGGCTGCGTACTGCTTATGACGCTGTCACTGGCTGGTGGCCGGACCGATGGGAGATGATGCCCTACTACCTGGCGGTGGACGAGACCGACTCGGAAGGTAAGACGGTAGTGGCGCCTAGCGCTTCTACTGAAGGTCGTGGGTCCAATATCCCCGTGTCATTGCTGACGTGGCTACATCATACGAGAGCAGTTCGATTGGTCTCATAAGAATATACAGAGCTCTCTTCATTATTGATAATTTGATTCTTTAGCCCATTATTTTTATTAATGCTGTTATTTTCGGTGGTGACTTTAAAAATATATGTTCCAAAATAGGTACTTGATATGGTGAGAATTTTGTGATCCTCGGACATTGTGGAATGCATGAAAATATGCGTTTTCCGGTTGTTTAAATACCCCAGTTGCAAAACGACAAAACGTATGCTACTAAATATGGTATTCGGTTCTGCTTGTGTTTATGTATCAGTAAACAATAATTGGCAAGATACTTATGAATCTCAGTTCTCACATAGAAATGGCTCAAATGTAGCGTGGTAATAAACAGTTACAGGTTCAAGTTGAGGCTGTTACATTTCAAATTATCTACTTTTAGAACCCTTTGTGATATTTAAGCGTTTCTGGTATTTATAAATCCATAAAGCCACCGACTGACACCCCAGCTGACCCCATGGGCTGACCTTTCACCTGACCCCACCGATTTCCTCTCACCTGATCTCGCATCTATCACCTGATCGCGCATCGCGCATCTCACCTGATTGCCGTTCCCGTAGCTCAGTTGGTTAGAGCGTTGGACTCCGCGTGGTGAGAGCACGCGTTCCCGGTTATGACAGTCCGGGTTCGAAGCGCGACGGGCGCTCGACATTTATGGGCCTCCTGACAGGTATGGCTGCGGTCATGGTGGCAGGCCGTAGCCAGGCGAAGTCAGCGAGGGGACCGGCCGTGCGCGGCTTTGTGCGCACGTTAAACTTTGGACTCTAAATTCTGCCATAAAATCGAGATTGCGCGATCGGAGGGTAGAGGGCAGGGTCATCGCAACAAGCTTCGCTTAGCAGTGGCTCTGTCCTTGTGAATCCTTCCCATCAAAAGGTTAGGACTAAATTTATAAAAAAAATATTACCTGCTCACCTCCCACATGACCCCACCGACTGACCTTCCACCTGACTCCACCACATGACTTCCCACCTAACTCCACCGATGTTCCTCCCATCTCACCACCGAATGACATTCGTCCCATTTCACCAGAATCTCTCCCATCTGACCCTTTTGACAGACATTCTCTTCCCGTCCGCCCCACTGACCAAGCTCACACCGACCCAACCGTCTGACCAGTTCCTCTCTGACCTCTATTGACGATAAGTTATGTCTGTCTTGCTACTGAGTCTCTCGACTACCAATGGACCTATTAACGCCCACCTGACCTACTGCGTTTCAGACTCGGAGCAGGATGACGACGGTGGAGAGACCGGTGGCGAGGAGCGGCGTGACGCAGACGAGGGGCAGACATCGGAGGGTCTGCCTCGCCCTCAGCGAGAGAAATGGCAGCAGCTGGAGCGACAGCACCAGCAGCTGTGGCAAGAGCTCGAGCCGCGGGGCTACGGGGAGAGGAGGAGTCTGAACGAGCGGCATGATGAGGAGTACCGGCGTCTGGAGCGGCATCATGATGAGATGTGGTGGCAAATGAAAACGCGGCACCATGGGGAGCAAAAAAGGCTTCATCAGCTACACGACAGTGCTGTCAGATGCGTGGAGCTGCAGACTCAGGGACAGTCGCAGCTCCTTGTAGAGAAACGTCAAAGGCAGACTGGGTTGCTGAATCGGAGGAAACGTAGGCAATGTGCAGTGCTGGAGCGAAAGCACCAAATCGAATGGGACGACCAGCAGCAGGAGTTCCAGAAGCAGTGGAACAAAATGAAGCAGAGACACCGACGAGAAACACAAGAGCTGGAGGAGAGATTCCCGAACATCCGGACAAGGGAGGAGTTGGATCGGCTGATGGAGGAATGCAGCAGGAGGCGTCAGCAGCTGGGAAAGGAACTGGAGAAGGAGCTAGAGAATGAAGAGACACTTGCACGAGGTAAGATATCAGATTTAGATGAGTGAACATATCCAGTGTCGTATTAGCATTCGTGATGAATACGACCGAGCTCAAAGATGCTATAGCTACATGCTCTTGTTGTGATTAACACCATATATAAACTACCAAATAAGTCGTTCGTGTCAGTCACTTCAAAAAGCTGGGTTTAACATCTCGGCCCTGATTCCAGGCTTAACTTGTGTCCACCCTTATATATGTTTTCTACCAATCTCGGATATTTTTATTTCAGACGACTTCTTTTATTTAAAGAAGCAGGAGAAGCAGCAGCAGCAGCCCGAACAGCATCAGCAGCAGGAGGAACAGCAGCAAAAGCATCAGCATCAACAACAACAGCGGCAGAAGCAGAAGCAACAACAACAACAACAGCAACAGCAGCAGCAGGAACAGCACCAGCAGCAGCAACAGCAACAACAAGAACGGGGACGGCAGCCAGGCCGGCACCTTGAGCACCTTCGGAATCTCATAGAGGCGACACGAAGACACCGCCAGCAGCTCATCCAGCTCCAGGAGCGGCACAACCAGGAGCTGGAGGAGCAGAGGAGACGTCACCGGCAGGAGAGGAAGGATCTGGAGCGGCGCCTCGGCTGTCGGCGGAACAAGCAGGAGCGGCGCCACAGACAGTGACCGACGTGAGTTAATTTTGTTGAAAATTATTCAACGTTTTCTGTATTCAATCAGGATGAAATAATTGAGGGACAAACCAAATGGAAGAAATGAAACACACCATAGGTTTTAATGTTCATTAGCCCTCGCCGGACCCGCCGACTTTCTACAAACGCGCCGGCCGAGGGGTGGGGGGGGATACGACCCTTGCCGTTTCTCTCCTGGTGGAACTAGAGCCTCGCTAAAAGAAACGAATGTCTGCGCCGATACGAGACGCATCAACTAGTACCAAGTTTTAAGGTCTCAGGTCAACCGGTGACCTCTAAGGTCAGGTCAAGTGGCATAAAGCACGGGCTCAAAAACTTTGCAAAAATGGCCGCAGTGCCGCCATTGTGACACCATCGTGTTCGCCTCCCTCAGGCGCGTCGAATGATATGCTTTTGTTCGGGTTAGGTCAGGTCCAGATGTTGACATTCTTGGATCAAGGTCAGGTCAGAGCTCCTCGGTCACGAATTTGGTCGAAGGAGGTCAATGGTCATATCGCATATCATTCGACTCAGATGGCCTTCCCGAGTCTAGTGTGGCTAGCGAGTCTAGCTAGCGAGTCGTGGTGGCTTTCACGACTTGCTAGCTCAATTTCATCGGGAGGTATTGACCGAAATGCTCTTATGGTCCTAGTGACGTCACAAATGACGTCAGGCAAGGTCAACAATGCAAAATTGAAGCATGAAACCTTTAATTTCATTTTCACACATTTATTTATAATGGTGAGGTCACGTGACCGACGTGACCTCATGTCAGCTTTAGCCCGGCAGGCGGTGGGCCTACCAGCCACCTTCCGCGCGGTGGGGGGGGGGGCATTTTTTTGCCCCCCCCCGTATCTCCGAAACTACTGAACGGATCCTGAAAATTCAAACGGCGTTCGATAGCCCTGTCAAATTTGTCGAAGGAAACTAAATTTCATTGACCTCGGGGTCACCGATGACGTCACAGGTCAGGTCAAAGACAAAATGTTTCACCGTTCACGGGGCTTCTAGGGAAAGCGCTATAACACCGAGTAAAACGCATTTTGTCGAAAATCAGCGATGAGGCGTCAGTTGTCTAGTACATATGTTGCTATTAGAGGTCACCGGTCATACCAGGTCAGGTCACAGGTCAGGTCACCAAAGGTTACCCTTGGTCACCACATGAGCCCAACTTTACTAAGGTTATGCGATGCATGTTTTATGGCCAGTTTTTCATTTCCAACTCAATGGTGTTGGTTATAAGACCATCAGGTACGGTTAAGGTCACTTTCTGGTGGAGGTCAGGTCAAGGTCAGGTCAAAAAAGGTCAAATTTCAAAGTTGATATTTTTGCACAAAATGGGCATCGAATCGATGCAGCTCGTCACGGGGAGTCTAATGGTGGTCTTTGTTTTGCGCTACGAGGTCCAGAATTGCTAAAAATTGAGTTCGAAAATTTGACGTCATCAATTTTGAACAGTTTTTTTCGCTATAACTTGGCCAAAAAAAGAGGTATCTATCTCAAATTTGGTATGTAGATAGAAGGCGGTTGGGACTATCACATATATTCCGGTTTTTTTCGAAATTCAAAAAACTTTTTGGATTTTTCGGCTATTATATTCGAAAAATCTATTTTTTTGATTTTTGGGGGTCAAAATCCAAAAAAATCGAAAAACCGAAATAGCAGTTTTGTAGCCCTTTTGATTCCACACCTTTTATGTCTGAAACATTTTTATGTATCTCTAAAGCTGTGGGCCTGACAGCTCTTCCCGCGAAACCTTTTTTTGGGTCGAAAATGGCAAAAATGACGTCACTCTGACGTCATTAGCGGCCAACCTATCATAGCCATTGGAAAAATTTTTGGTCACCATGTGCGCTAGCTGCTCCCGGGAGGGTACTGAAAGTTTGGTGACGATCGGCGCAGCGGTTCTCGAGATATATCGAAAAAACTAAAGGGGGGGGGGCAAAAAATTCCCCCCCCCCACCGCCTGGAAGGTTAGGGGAAAATCCGAGGTATAAAGGTTGTGAGACCTTTGGAGAATACAAGGTCCACAAGGTCCGGTAAGCTTCATCTCCCTGTAAGAGCTGCTCTGGCACTGAAGACGTTGCGAAGTTGTGGATTCTGAGGACCGTGCAGAGGTTTACTTGTGACATCATAGGTCAGTGACCTGACCTAGCCGGGAAATGTGGTTGGTGTCACAATATCCAGCTTGAATCAAAGATCAGGTATCCCAAGTTTCAGCTCTCCATATCCGACGTGTTCCGAGTTATCGCGAAAAAACTGTGTGTGTGTGGGGAGGGGGCACCGGTCCCCTCGGCCTGCGAGGGCTAGGTCTCATCAGGCTCATATTTGGTATATCCAAGCCTGCTCTGTTTGTGTTTCAGGATATCAGCGGAGTCGCGAACCACCCCGAGGAGGCGCCACTAGGGAGAACAAGTAGAGGAACAGATATATGCATACAGTGTCAGACAAGTTCAAAATGTGTCGACTGGGCAGATATTTGAAAAGAAATGAAAACATTCACAAGTATTGTATGTATATCATTACCGTTTCATTGAGGCCGTGAATTTAGAAATAGATAGGTTTTAGACAAATAGATAGTTTTAGATGAGAGTTGCCCGAGTTGGTATCAAATTATGTACAAAATGGGAATGTTTAAAATGTTCATCGCGTGTAGATAGTTGTATACGTATTCGATGTGTTACAGGGTGGCCTTTGTTGTTATACAAGTACAAACTGTTGTTCGATGATGTTTATTGAAATGGGCTTAGTGAGCAATTACTGTTGTTAATTGTTAATAGGCATCATGCTTTTTATTATACATGTCTTGTGTAATGTGTTTTCTCGTAAAAGCTATTATACATTAGGAGGCATGTACGGAACGGTACATATGTACATACACATCTGTACCGAACCATTACATGGTAACCATTGCGTGTGGTGGCCACTGGATGTAGTGTAAATATAATATTAGCCAGGCACGACTCAGCTAACTGCGAAGGAAGACCGGCCCGGCCGGGCTCTACTGATAGCGCTGGTCCGCACCGCCACGTCCGGCACAGGAAGGGTGACGAGAACTGCGGCCGACTGGCCAGGAAGGCCGTCAGATAGGTGGGCTGGCACCGCCGTCTCCACTAGCCGCAGGCAGGATGGTGCGGTTGGCATGGCGTCGGTTAGGTAGGGGTCTGGGGACGGGGCAGACATCTGGAAAATACTGTGCAAGATGGAGCTGGCGCGATTTGCTCAGGTCGGGTCACAAAGGAATGGTGGTGAATAGGTCCCGGTCAAGCTAGGAGGATTGAAAAACTTGAAATGAGATCGGCTCAGCCTTAACCCAGTAGTCAATTAAAGGGACATTTTTGATTACGCTAGCTTTTCAGGTTTCTGACTTTTACGAATTAGTTCTGCTTGGTACTGTGCGGCTTTTAGTACAACACGGAAATTGTACTGAGATCCCAGGTGGGTTCTCGTATAAGCATGTTCATCAACGGTGTTTGACAGGGCCACTTCACGTCTGCTATGGTCTGGCAAACCTAAGAAAGACCGGAGTTAATGCTCCTGAATCCTTTTGCCGTGTTTTGATCACTGGACGTATATGGTTAGATGGGACCGTCCAGATCCACACCGTGGAAGAGTGATCACCCCGCACACAATCCTCACCCTCCGACAGGTACCTAACAACAGTCGACCGTGTGACTAGGGTCGGCTGGGGAGGTATTTGTATTTTGTGACCGTCGAAGAAATCTCAATCAACCCTCAAACTGAGAGCTGGTTATATTTAGCTAGCGATAGCTGGTATCGGACGAGCGGCAGTGTTTTCCGCTCTTCAGAGTACCCTGCAGCGCCCCAACTCTTCAGTATGTGACGGATGTTGACATTGGCTGGGGCCTCATGACTTCAGTAATACAGATAAAGTGGTTGTTAACACACTCCCTCCTTTACCGGGACTACTCAACACTGACACGGTATCACCACTCGACTGGGGGCTCAGTGAGCTGGTGGTCATAGAAGGACCGACACCACTGCTGACCTTTGACCCCGGTCACGACCCGAGAAGAAAGCAGCTCGTCCAGTGGACCGGAAATGGTATGAACGTTTTGTGGTAAGTGGGTTTTACAATAAACCACGGATGTCACCAGCTCTCTCCCCCTCTCTCTCTCTCCCTCTCTCTCTCTCTCACTCTCTCTCTCTCTCACTCTCTCTCTATCTCTCTCTCTCTCTCTCTCTCTCTCTCTCTCTCTCTCTCTCTCTCTCTCTCTCTCTCTCTCTCTCTCTCTCTCTCTCTCTCTCTCTCTCTCTCTCTCTCCTCTCTTTCTCTCCTGCGACGACCTTCCCATGCCCCCTCTATCCTCCTCCTCCACTCACCAGTCGTACCGACTGCGCCTTCGGGCGACAGCCGATATCACCACCAATCAGCGTTCAGGAGTCCCACCGTGTCTACCAATCAGCGATCAGAAGCCCCAGACAGGGGAGCCGGTCCGTCTGACTGCTGGTGTGGTTACGGTAATGTCCTTTGATGACGCGAGCGGAGGGCTGGACGATGGCGGAAAGGGGGCGGGGCGAAAAATGACACGAAGCACGGGTGACGGGACAGACGTGTTTTTGCTGGAAAAGATAGACTTGTTACATTGTTTACACCTGTTACATTATAAATACATAAATGCTTCGCAGGTAGCAGGTGTCAATACCAATTTGTAGGAATGCGAAAAGTATCAATTAGAGCAGCTCCAATGACCATCGTGCATGAAAGACCAGCATGCAGCATGTGCTGCTGTGGTAACCACGTGTGTCGCCGGCCGGCACGGGAGTTCCCGGCGCAGACCGATTCGCGCGCCGACTTGTGACGTCGCTACCCCGCCCCGGCGCTGGGGGGCGGCCCAGGACGTGTCTGTTCGTGAACTTTGTCCCATCACGATGCGACCGCGTGCCTGCGGCCTGCGCTGCCGCAGTGCGTCGGCCAGTGACCAATCCGCGCTCCGATCGACAGCCACGTGGTGTCCGAGTGCTTCTGCGCATGTCTGGGCCCGGCCCGCTGCGTCGGGCCGCGCGCTACCCGGGACTTCTAGGCCGAGCTCTTGACCCGAGCAGACGCGTCACGTCTGGCTCCATTAGGCCCGTTATGTCCGGGATTTAGAACTTTTAATTAGGCAGGGCATATTTGGCAAACTTGGATTTCATTCTCGTCTCTTCGTCGCTCCATTGTCTGATTCGCTGTTTTGGTTTTTGACTTCGTTTTGGTAATTTAAATATAACAACCCGCTCCTTAAATTAATTCTTTTACTTGGGGCCGTTTGGATCGAACTGATTGAATTTTTGGAACACGCACCAGGTTGATATTCTCCATTTCTGATTACCGTAAAATCCAGTCACTGATATGTGGTGAACAGCCCCACAGCACCACATATTGGTGACCCCGACGTGATTCTTGTTCGATTTTTCCATACTTCCGGGTTGTCGCCTCCGCTCATTCCCGAATCAATTATTTTATTTTATTCCCCCACATGGATTGCTATTCCGTCGCTCCACAGTGGCTTCTGCGCCACTTTTCCATGATGGTTTCTGTGCCATATCTCCGCCGTGTGATTAGTTAGGCATTTATCTTCTCGGTGATTTTATTTCGGCGTTCCATTGGCTCTTTCGGATTTTGCACTCGGTGTTTTAAATTTTAATTGTTCAGTGCATTGCAAACACCGGCTATACTTTAACGATCATGACGAACGAGGGCACGATGGAACCCGCTCATGTTGAGCCGGTCCATCATGTGTCGATCAAGCCGCCGGTTTTTATGGACACCGCGATTGACGGCTGGTTTGCTATTATGGACGCCCAATTTAACATTGCCAAAATCACCAACTCGCAGACCAAATTCTACCACGTTCTCTCTGCCCTGCCTCCGGAAACCATTTCGCACATTCCGCGTGCTGTCTTGAGCAACAAAAATTTCTCTGAGCTACAGACAGCCGTCACTGACATGTACGAAAAGACAAAGCCAGAGATGTTTGAGAAACTGATCAGCAAAACGCGTCTGACGGGCCGACCCTCGCTCTTTCTAAGCGAACTCAGAGAGGTGGCCGACAAGGTTGGTGTCGGAGACGATCTCGTTCGGCACAAATTTATCCAGTCGCTACCCACAGGCATTGCTACGGCCCTGGCTTCTCAGCGCGAGCTCTCACTGTCGCAGTTGGGCAAACTCGCGGACGAGCTAATGCCTCTTGTGCAAAACTCAGCTGCTAACATGGTTCACTGTCAGGATCAGGACCCACAGTCCGACTCACAGGCGTTCTTTGTGGCTCAGCAGCACCCAAGGTACCACAGGGCCACTCAGCCGCAGAGCCGAGCCGCCACACACTCCCCTGCTCGTGATGCTCGTGATTCAAGAGCGTCTCTCGGTCTCACGCCGTTCCACCCTGACCAGAAGCCGAAAGTATGCCGTGCTCACCTGTTTTTCGGCAGCCGAGCACGCACTTGCAAGCCATGGTGTCACTGGCCCGACAAAGCTGCTGATCTGACCATGCAGCCGTCCTCACGAGCTGCATCTCCCTCCCGTGCAGCCTCAGAGTCGGGAAACGAGAGGAGCAGGCCGTAAACGCAGCCCTCGGCCTGCCGCTCCTTAGGGTAACAGCCAAGGTGAATGATCAGCCCCTGAAATTCATCGTGGATACTGGCGCTGGTGTATCCCTGGTTCCACCCTCCTATGTGAATGGAACTCTAATTCACCCGTCCGCTGTTTCGATCACGACTGCCAGCGGGCAGCCACTGCGCGTGCATGGCGAGGCCACTCTCGATATTGTCCTCCCCACACTCCGACGCAGTTACACATGGACATTTGTAGTGGCTGAAGTGACAGAGCCACTACTCGGTAACGATTTTCTCGCTCACAACTCGTTGGTTGTCGATTGTGGTTCCCAAGTTCTCCGCGACTCCACCACTCTGCTCTCTGCTCCCGGTGTACCGACGACCGGGGAGTCTGTTCATTTGGTGATAAATGATCTCGCTCAGGTGCCTGAGGCAGTGCGGCCCATCCTAGAGGATCACCCCGCTGTTCTCAGCCCTAACCAGCCGGATTACACAGACTCGCCAATCAAAACCACTCACTTCATCGACACCGGCAGCGCTCCACCCACGTTCGCCAGCCCACGCAAGCTGCCGCCCGACAAACTAACTGCAGCAAAGCAAGCACTCGATGTGCTGCTCAAAACAGGAGTGATTCGTCCGTCTAGGTCCCCGTGGGCCTCACCCATCCACATGGTTCCGAAAAGTACCCCTGGTGAGTGGCGTGTCACCGGTGATTACCGCGCGCTCAACGCCGTAACCAAACCGGATCGCTACCCACTGCCGCACATTCAGAGCCTCTCAACCAAGCTCCACAACGCTCAGTGGTTCAGCAAAATCGATCTGCTCCGTGCATATCACCAGGTGCCTATGAACCCCGCTGACTCAGAGAAGACGGCCGTCACCACGCCCTTCGGCTTGTACGAATACGCCTTCATACCAATGGGGCTTCGCAACGCAGGTGCCACATTCCAGAGGGTCATGGACGGTATCTTCCGAGACGTGCCGTGCGTGTTCGTCTATCTCGACGATATTCTGGTATTTTCCGAGAACCAGGAGCAGCATGAGAAGGATTTGCGCCTCGTGTTCAGCAGGCTGGCTGAGCACAAGCTTCGCATCTCGCTGGAGAAATGCGAGTTCATGAAAAGGTCGCTCGTTTTCCTCGGCCATGACGTCACCAGCACAGGTGTCACACCTCCCAAGGCCAGAGTGAAGGAGATTCTGGACCTCCCTCTACCGCATGACTCAGAGTCACTGCGTCGCTATCTGGGACTCATCGGCTTCTACCGGCGTATGATTCCGCGATTCGCCGATGTCACGTTCCACCTGACCGAACTGATTCGACTCAACCCAAAAAGCAAAGAACTGACGTGGACAGAGGAACAGATTCAGGCGTTCAGTGACAGTAAAGCAGCGCTGGCTGGCGCC